AAGGTCACCACAATATTGCAGAAAAGGGGAGTGGAGTCATGTAGGAAAATGGTTATTTGTTGGGCATCCTTGGCCAAATCTTACCGGAAGAGACAGGTAACTGTTCCGGTAGCCCTGTGTGGTATGTCGAATTACTTTCTTGTGACAGACAGGTGCATGCTTTCCTTTCGTGTGTCAGCATTTCCCAGACGAGAATATGGGTGCCTTCCAGATCTCACCGGTGAGCGCCTTGCATTCGGAATGGAGAAGAGATAAAATGGTCGCTGCGCAGCACAATATTGGCTCCATCTGCAGAGGCAAGGTCCCAGTCAACACGACAGCCAGCGAATTAAGTCATGGGGATGCCACAGATACGTGTGCCAAGAGACGGCAGAGACTTTTGCTGTGTAAAACGTGGCACGCAGACGAACGCCCGTTCCTTATTATTTGCTCTTTTTTTTGTCCCTATTTTCCTCACGATTCTGGCTTCTCCAGCATCTTTCTTGTCATCCTCAGCCTCTCACAGCCCGCCCTCCAGCGTCTCGTCTGACACATTTCTCCATAATCCTCCTCCCCGTCAAGACTTACACCAAATTCTCCAGTTTATATCTCCGCAAGTCCACAAAAAGACGTTTTTTGCCGGCCTCGTTTCTCCACAGATCGCTATCCTAGAGAGCTCATCCCCCTCATTTTGTGGTTTCCTCCTTGCCTTTGTCTGTTTTAGCCTTAACGGTGAACTAGTCTGGAGACTGCCTCTGGGATATGTTATGGCAAGAAGTCACGGGAGTTTGTGCTGTTAAAGTGACGTTTTGTCCGTCGTGCGACGTATTTACCCTGCCCACCAAGCGTCTGTGGTTGATCGTCCGTCGGGGCCATGTCTCCGATTTGGCTTGTGCGCCACCACTTTCGGCCCTTGCAACTCAGATTAGGCGGAGAGACTACTCAGTATTGACCAAGGCTATCAGGCTGTTGGGGAATCCTGTCGAACCTATCTCCTGTCTCTGTCTCCTGTCCCCTGTCCCCTGTCAAATCTGACATGGCCTACCTTTGGATGCTGTGAATGTGTGACTGCAGGACACAGAGATAAAAGCATGCCCATATACGAATGTACTACTGTTGATTCTGCGACTGAAAACGGCCAACAAAGCGCAGCCAAGCCCCATCCTCCCCCGTGTCGAGCGACGGGCGCTACGTATGGAGCCAGAGCTTAAAAAGAGGATCGTCTTGCTTGACCAGTCTCAGTATGGGGGGATTACGGGGTATTATGGGCACCAGAGACATGAGATGGCAGTTCGAGAAGCTTGTCCCGTGCCTTGACGAATTACTCGCTCCATCTTTTCGTCTCTAGCCTTCTTCACCTTCAGCTGTGAAGGCAAGACGCTTCGCCTGCAAACGAGGAGCACGGCCGCTTCTCGTACTATTTTCATAGAATTGTGTTGCTTCTTTGTCTCCCAATCCAGACCTTCCACCGCGGCAACCTCCGGAGACCCTTGATTTGTCTCTTTTTTTTTGGCTGCAAGCCACGCGCTTTGACGTGCCCATTTTTAACCTCGTGCGCCGTAATTTTACCAAACGCCGTCTCTCTGCAAACGCGTCCCAGCCTCCCTGGTGCTTTTTCTTTCTCCCTTCTTCCCTCGTTCCCTCCTCCCTCTCCCGAACCCCCATGCCGAAAACGTTGTCCGCCGAGGCCAATACCACCCCAAGTCGTTCTTGCCGGTACGCTATTTTACCCCGACCACGGATAATTGATCCTTTTGGGAGTGCTTGTTGTTCTTTGTCTTCCTTCCATCGTCTTGGATCTTTTCCTCATTTCTCGGTGCGCGTCTGTCCCGTGTCTGGCTTCCTGTAGTGTTCTGGATTTGTCCCTGTATTTTTATTTGTCTGCGTTTTTATCCTCCCGCTTCCAGCGTGGCTATTTCGATCCTTGCTGATCTGCCACCCATAATTGCGAGCATATGGCCTTCGCACGTTTTGTTACGGAGACACGCAAAGAAAAACGACATACACAATGACCAAACCGTTGATACAACCCATAATCTCCCTAACACGTCTGCGCTGTATCACTCTATTGCAGCCGTACCACCCTTACGCCATACGACATACGGAGTAATCACAACATAGAACATACTTGGGTACACATCCCGTTCCTCCGCGCTCTTGGCTGAGTGTATGTCGTATCTCCTTTTCTTCCCCCATTCCTGCCTCCACTTTCCGCACTCGTTCATCTTTGCTATCATTCGTCGGGGGTCTCGGGGACCAGGGTTTGTTGTCAATTTCTGACCATTGTCCCCCATCCTCCAAGCGAGACGGAGGACAGCCTGACAGCGTAGTCTCGTGCGGAGAAGGTGCGAGTGGAGAGAGGCCTAGCTGGGCAAAGTTCTTAACCGCCAACAACTCGGCAGTTGGAGAGGCAGTTGAATGCGTGTGGCTGTTTGACTTTGTTTGCCTTGGTGTATTTTCATTTATCCTCCATCCTCAGCACGAGTACTGCGCCAAACTTCAGCAAAAACGAACGACAAAACCGTCACGCATGCTCTGCAAGACGCAGGTCAGCGTTCCTTTTCCACGGAGTACACTTTCCCAAACCAGAAACCGGCCCAGAAACCGGCCCAGGACGTAGAACCAGGTGATCCAGACAATAGATCGTGACCAGACCAACTCAATCCCAGGCCCAGACCCAGACCCAAACGGGGGCAGAACGGGGGCAGCAACGGCGTACCAGAACCACAGAAACAGGGTCTGTGGGCATATTTGCACGTATTTTAAGGTATTTTTACGCCGTAATTCGTACCTGATTGTAGTTTGTGTATACCCCCGCGTACTGGGTTTCTTTTATTTTTCGTTCACATTATACACGGTACCACCATTTTAATAATAGCTTCTTTTACGACGCCGCTCTCATCTGTTCCATCCTCTTACACTCTTCACTTTTCACTCTTACACGCCCCTGGTTTCTTCCTGCTCCAGCTCTCCGAGCTCCTTCCGTGGTGCCTTGCTCACATATAACTTGCAACATTGCCCCGGCTCCAACCGCGCATCATCTCCTCTTTTGATTTTCTTCTCCTTTCTCCTCATTCTCGTTTATTTTATTTAGTCAAACATCGTTCGTTGTGTTGTTTTCCTCACTCTCACAATTCTTCCCCTCATTCGTCACGCACCTCTACAGCCCTCCGTTTGCGCCTTCCTTCCTTGCCACCTTTCTTCTTCCCTCCTTCCTTCTCCCTCATCGCTCTTTCCTCTTCCGTCTCCCCAAACATGGCAGCTCCCGAAGAAGCGGCAGCTCCCGCCGCTCCGTCACCCGTCGACGTGGAGGCTGCGCAGGCCGTCGCCGACAAGGAAAAGTCGCAGAAGCAGCACCGCGAGGCCACGACCAACTTGCACGAGTACGCCGAGTCCGAGGGCTATGTCATTGACGCTTCGGACGACGGCGACGCCTCGGCCGCGCTCAAGAGGGCGCCGGACGGCCGCACGATCCTGATTCCGCAGCCCAGCGACGACCCCAAGGACCCGCTCAACTGGAGCTGGACGACCAAGCACATCACGCTCCTCATCATTGCGTGCACGGCCTTTCTGCCCGACTACGGCAGTGCCACGGGCGCGGTGACGCTGATTGCGCAGGCAGAGGAGTGGGACATGACGCAAGACGAGGTGAACCACAGCCAGGCGGGCAACGTGTTCATGCTGGGCGCGGGCGGCATCTTTGCCGTCATCTTTGCCGCGTACCTGGGCCGCCTGCCGGTGGTGTGGTGGTACCTCGTGGTGGCGACGGCGACGGCGGCGTGGTGCGCGGGCGCGACGTCCTTTGCCTCGTTCATGGCGGCGCGCATCCTCAACGGCTTTTTCAGCACCGTGTGCCAGGGCATGGGCCTCGTCTTCATCCAGGACATCTTCTTCTTCCACGAGCGCGCGCGCAAGATCAACATCTGGGCGTCCTTCTTCATCATGAGCCCCTACATGGGCCCGCTGCTGACGGCGTTTATGCTGACGGCGAAGCCGTGGCCCGTGCCCTTTTGGGTGTACACGGCCATGACGGCCGCGTGCTTCGTGGCCACGACGCTGTTTCTGCGCGAGACCTACTACGACCGCCGCATCGCCGCCGCCGACCAGCCGCCGCCCGGCCGCCGCTTCGAGCAGGTCATTGGCATTGCGCAGTTCCGCTCGCGCCACCTGCGCAACAGCTTCGGGCAGGCCGTCTGGCGCACCATCAGCGTGCTGCTCAAGCCCACCGTCTTTCTGACGTGCTTCTACTACATGCTCACGTTCGCCTGGGTCGTCGGCATCAACACGACGCTGTCCATCCTGCTGCAGCCCGTGTACAACTTTGGCGTGCTCCAGATTGGCTACTTTTACTTTACCCCCGTCGTCGCCGTCATCCTCGGCGAGCTGGCCGGCCACTGGCTGCACGACGCCATCGCCCAGCAGTACATCCGCACGCACAAGGGCCACTTTGAGCCCGAGGTGCGCCTGCGCGCCATTTTCGTGAGCCTGCCGTTTATGATTATCGGCATCGTCCTCCTCGGGCAGTCGCTCGAAAACCGCTGGCACTTCATGGCCACGTCCGTGACCTGGGGCCTCTACGTGTTTGGCATCATGATCACCACGGTCGCGCTCTCGAGCTACAGCCTCGACTCGTACCCGGAGGCCAGCGGCGAGGTCTCGGCCTGGCTCAACTTCAGCCGCACAATCGGCGGCTTCATCATTTCGTACTTTCAAGTGACGTGGGCGACGAACGAGGGCGCGAAGAAGAGCTTTGGCGTGCAGGCCGCGATCATGGGCGGCGGCTTTATCCTGGTCCTCATTCTGCTGCGCTGGGGCAAGGCGATGCGCGTGTGGGCGGGCCCGCTGAACTTTGCGACGGCGTGAGGAGGGGGCCACGTGTTGTGTCTTGCTATCATGAGACGAGACTGGATTTCATGCGTTTTTTGGATTTTTTTATTTCTGTTCTTCGATGTATGGTCTCTCCGTGGAGAGAATTCGTTACGATACCTCTTAATTATATAAATGTTCATTTACACGACGTCTTATTTTGCCACGCCACTACCATTATCGTCCATGCTCTCCTGCGTATCCTCGATGCTCTCGTTGATGAACATGGTCGTGTCCGAGTCAAATATCAGGCCCAATGCATCGAGATCCATGGCAGCCGGGTCAAAGTTGTTGAGGGTGTTGTAGTGGTTGAAGAAGGAGGAATCGTTAAGGTCAAAGTCAAAGTCTAGATCTGGCAGCGCTGGAGGAAGTGGCTGGTGCTGGGCTTGGGGGTTGTATGTCTGCTGTGGGTGTTGTGCGTGCTCTTGTTGGCCTGTCTCGTTGCGATGGTTCTGTGGATCGACATACTGTGGATATTGCAAATGCTGGTATGACGACTCCGAGACGCCGTATGTGTTTACATCGGGAATGTACGGGATGGCGGTCTCGGCAACCTCTGGAAACACAGGAAGTGGCGGACTTTGTAGGGGGCTTTGCAACATGTCCTGGGGACGATCTGATGAAGTATGTTGTAGAGGTGCCTTGCCAATTTCCTTTTCCTTACTGTTGGCTATCTTGGTCGCCGTCGTCGTCGCCGTCGTCGTCGCCCCCGCTGATGGTCCTAGAATCGTCCGCAGCCGCGTCAGTTGCTCGTACCGCGCCGCCACGTACCCGTTGCCCAGGTCGCCCATCCGCCGCAGCAGCGCCAGACCTTTTGCCATGGCCTCGACCGTCTGCGCGTTCGTGGGAAACGCCGTGTACACCAACGCCAGGACAATGGCCGCCGAAAAGGCGTGCTCGCCGTCCATGTACCCGTATGTGGCGACCATGTTGTAGCCCGCGGCCTTGGACATGATGCGGACCGTGTTGCGCGCGGCGGCGACACAGGCATGGATGACGGCCACCGTTTTGGGCGCGAGTCCGGTCTGCCAGTCGCGTTCCTTCTCGGCCGTGGGGTCAGCAGCGGCTCGGATGGCGGCAATGCGTTTCTGCACGACATGGAACAGCAGCGGACGTGCCGTCATGTTGATGCACTGGTAGTAGTGCATGTACATGGAGATGCTCTCGCGGGAGAGGGTGGTGTTGCGGTCTGGGTCAAGGCGGAGGGCCCGAGGCAAGGCCGCCTCCCACTGGTCGAGGGACCGCAGGATGCCATGAACCGTGGTGAGGAGAGACGAGCCAGAGAGCATGTGCGTGTGTACATGGCGGCGTGCCGAAGGCGAGAGGACGGCTGCTGCTGGCTGTGTCGTTGTTGATGCGGCGTTGGGAGGCAGAGATGTCCGCCGGTAAATGAGCGTGGTAATGTCGCCCAGAATTCGTGACAGCTCCGTGTAGCAGCGCAGTATGACAACAGGGCTGTCTGCCGGTTCGCCCGGGAGCGGTTTGGGCATGTCGACGCCAATGTCCTCGTCCAAGATGGCAATTGGGTGGCCCGACTTGAGCGACAGGATGCGGTCCAAACTGTAGATGCTCCACCAGACGCGGCGGCGGTGTTCGCGATCGGCTGGAGAGAGTGCGGGCGACGATGCTGAGGACGGCACTTCCTGGTGCAGGCCGAGACTGATGGCCATCCGCAGGGCGATGCCGATGTAGAGGTACGCGGCGTCGCGCCGGTTCATGTTTTGCAAAAAGTAACCGACGTAGGCCAGCGTCTCGACGCCGAGGATCGACCCGGGCTCGTGCACATCGGGCAACAAGGCCAGGGCCCGCGCAAAGAAGCCGAACCCGGGCGGCCTGTCGTTGGCATCATCCGGGTCGTCTGTATTGCTGGGGGCAACAGCATCTCTGCTCGTCGTTGTTCGGTTGACCGAGTATAGCCGGCCGAGAGCTAGGATCATGAAGATCTTGGCGTATGTCAGACACACGCGGGTGTCGTCGTCGTTTTCGTAGTCGGAGACAGCCTTCAACGCCTGCGGGCCTTCGTACGCCAACTCTAGCTGCCGCTCAAACGTCTCCGGGTCGGAAAAGGCAAAGATGGTGCCAATATACATATGCTGCGCCCGAAAGTAGTTGCGTGCCGTATCCTTGATGGGCGGCAGCGCATCCACAATGCTGTGGGAGAGTTCTTTGGCCGACTTGCGCGACGGCAGCATTCCTGGGTCGTAGAAGACGGGTGTCTGTTCGAGGCCGTGATCGTCGTTGGTCTCCTCGTCGTCTCTGTCGTGGCCGTCGTGGTTATGGGTACTGTTTTGCCGGACACCAACACGCGAGCCCGGCCCTTCGCCACCTCGCAACCCCGACAGCTTGGTGGCCACCTGGAAGAAATGGTCGGCCGATCCACGGCTGGCACGCAGGTAGATGCTCATCTGCTTGAACTGGTCTGGGAGGTTGTCTTCGGCGTCGGGAACGTCACTCAACCCATCGTCGTCATCCTCGCCATCCTCCTCCTTGTCTTCGATGACGTTGTCATCTGCCATAGACTTCAGTGGCATGAGGCCGTGTGGAAGGCTGCTGAGTGCCTCGGGTGGCAGACTCTGGAAGATTTCTATAGCGTATGTGAGCTGCCATACAAATCTCGCCCCTCGTCTCCAATGCTTACCTTCATATCGCCTCAGTTTGGCTTTGAGATGACGCAGTTTCCTAACCATGTAAGGAGCGGCACAACATAAACAGAATATTACAACACAAAGATGAAACAACTCACTCTTCATTCACGGGAATAATCTTGGCCCCACGGTAGTCGCACTCGAGCCCCTTGGCCTGGCATCGCTCGCACTTGGGCTTGTCTTTGGAGCAAAAGATCTTTTGCCGCTTGCATTCCCGGCAACTGCATGTCCACGTAGGCAGGTTAGCAGCCGGCCATGTTCTCCGTCGATCCGTATAGACCATGTAGATCTCTCTTGATCTCCCATTGGTCTCCCGTTGGTCTCCCGTTGGTCTCCTTTTCTCTTCATGAACTCACGCTCTCGGCTTGGGATCCGGGGGTGGCACCCTGGCCCGGCGCACCGGCGCGGCTGATGGCTTCCGCGCGCGCACCATGGTGGATGCCTGGCTAGTGCAACTATCCGTTGTGCGTTGTCTTTTGTCCGTTGACGTTTGTCCGTTGTTGTTGAATGGATAGAACCCTCTCGTCGCTCATCCAAAGGGGTTCTGGAGATGGAGAGTCATCGGCGGCACGAGAGCCGTGAAAGGCAGCATGGCCAGGACCTATAAATCCTCGTCCTCACGAGTTTGACGATGCAACGGGTTTGGGTGTGGTTGAGCCGAAAGCTGAGACTGTAACTGTGACTCTAATTGAGACAGCAGTTGGAGTTCAGCCTCACATCTTGGCGGAAATCAATATTGGCTTTCACGATAATGCACAGGGCTGTGTGGCATGGGAAGGTCCGACTCGAACAACGGAGGGGTGGGGAGGAAGGTGCTGAGTTAGCGGCCCTCACTGGAAGGCTACGACGCTCCACAGCGCCCAGAAGGTTAAAGTGGGTCCATTAATGTCGGCGAGGGTTGCCGATATCTCGACAGGACGCACCGGTCGACGTAACCGATCCCGTAGATGGCATAGAGCTACCATATCGAGTACACTTCGGTATGCACAGTCAGTAAAGCAATAATGTAACGATACATCAGTCTGGGGATGGGCAGCCTTGTTGTCGCAGATGCTTTTCTCCGCGGGCGCTTTGTGTCTGTTGCACGTGACCATTATTGTTAGTGATTAGATACGCTCACCGCCAAAAAAATAGTGGCAGAAAAAGGGCGAAAAAAGCATCGCACCAATTGCTGTTCGACGGACGTCTCGTTCTTCCGTCTGTGGTCTCCGTTCTCTTGCACTCCAACCTCCTCACATCGCCATACAACGCCATGGCCCACGTCGACGACAAGGCCCGGTACTACCTGGAGCGGGCGGTGCCCCAGCTCCGCGAGTTTGAAGCCAAGGAGATTTTCTCAAAGGTGAGCTCGCTTCGACTCGATGCTGTGACCACGGCCAGTACCAGAGCACTAACTAACTCTTTCTTGCCAGGACGAAATCCGGACACTGGTCCAGAAACGCACGGAATACGAACGCCTCATCCTGTCTCCCGGGTCCAGCCCCGCCGACGTCCTCGCCTACATTGCCTGGGACCAGTCCCTCGACGATTTGCGAGCCAAGCGCTGCCGCCGCCTCAAGATCAAGCAGTCGACCAGCTTTACCAGCCAGGGCCGCATCTTCCAGACGTTTGAGCGCGGCGTGACCAAACACCCAGGCAGTTTGCTGCTGTGGCGCAAGTACCTCGAGTATGCGGCAGCCGCCAAGGCCACCAAGCGCTGGCGGCGCATCATGACGCGGGCGCTGCGCATGCTGCCGAGCGAGGGCGGGCTGTGGGTGGTGGCCGGCCGCAAGGCGTGGCAGGACGGCGACATGGAGGGCGCGCGGGGCCTGTTTATGCGCGGGTGCCGGTTCTGCACGACCGAGCCGCTGGTGTGGCTCGAATACGCACGGCTGGAGATGGAGTGGCTGGCGAAGCTCGAGAAGAAGCGGGGGACGCCGCTGTACAACGCGAGCGTGGCGGCCATTGCGGCCGACGCCGCCGCGGGCTCGGCAACGAGCAAACCGCGGAATGTCTACGAAGAAGGCGAGGGCATGGCCCTGCACGAAGGCGACACCGACGACGAGTCTGACGACGACGAGGGCGATTTCAGCAACAACGCCATCCTACCAAAGTCGATGATCGACGACCCGCTGGCCAAGAACAAGAAGGCCGCCGTGTTCAGCGACGAGACCGTCGAGAAGCTGCAGGCCACGCCGGCGCTTGAAGGCGCCATCCCGCGGGCCATTTTCGACGAGGCTGCCAAGCAGGCCTTTTTCAGCGCGGACGCTGCCGAGTCCTTTTTCGACCTGTTTGCCCTTTTTGCCGCGTCCGTGCCCACCGCGCAGCCGATGCTCGTGGCGCACGTTCTGTCGACGCTCGACGCAAAGTACAAACAAGACGCCGCCACGTGGAACTGCCGCGTCAAGAACTGCGTGCTGGGCCTCAACCCCGACGCGCCAGCGTTCCCGCGGGCGCTGCGGACCGCGTTAACAACGCTGCGCGAGGGCCTGGACAAGGCCACCAACAAGGCCAAGTTTGCAGCCAAGAGCGCGGCGTGGATCGATGTGCTGCTGGTGCGCAAGGAGGACGAGCTGGACCCCAGTCTGCGGGCGATTCTGGAAGACACGCGGCGCAAAGTCGAGCGGGCAGGCGAGGCGGCTGCCGAAGCCAAGAAGCTGTTATGAGAGAGGAGCCGGGAATGAAAAAAAAGGACCAAAGTAGAAGCATTCTAGCGCTCTGTATGATTCCCATTCGATATATGTTACACTATATATTACTATACCATTACCACGTTGCCGTAGGCCTTCCATGCACCATGCCATCCGCTGTCATCTTCGTCGCGCGCCCTACGATTCCCCCGCCATACGCAGCAAGTGCTTCCACTCGTCGGCGCTCACCTGGCTCACGCTGAGCCGCGACTGCTTGAGCATCTGCATCTTGTCCAGCGGCTGCCCCGGTGCGCCCATGTCCTTGAGTTCCTTGAGGAAAATGGGCCGAGCAAACTTGCTTCGGAACTGCACGTGCACCACACTCCACTTGGGCTCTTTGCCCGCGGCCAAGTCTGCCGCCGCTTTCGGGTCGTAGTAGGCCGTCTTGGGGTCGTGTGCGCCCAGGTCGGGCGAGTGCTCGCGCACAATCGTCATGGTGCCGACGATGCCCGGTTCCTTGGTGTTGGAGTGGTAAAAGAAGGCGAGGTCGCCCTTCTTCATCTTGCGCAGGTTGTTGCGCGCCGTGTAGTTGCGGATGCCGTCCCAGGGCTCGGGCGCGGTGCACGCGGCCAAGTCGTCAATGGAGAAGCGGACGTCGACGCCGTTCTCGAAGCGGGACTCGGGCTCGGCCTTGAGCAGCCAATACTGCCGGGCGGCCGTGGAAGCAGACGTGTCGCCGTCTTGGTCTTGCTCGGCGGCGGCTCCCTCTTCTGCGACTGGTTCGTCCTTGGCCGCATCTTTAGCTGTCGCAACAGCCCTTCCCTTGCCCTTGGCAGTGGCCTTGCCCTTGATTTTCTTCGCAGGCGGTGCTTGTGCCGGTGCCGGTGTTGATGCTGCCTTTCGCTTCGTTGACGGTCCTGGGGTCACTTCTGCTTCTGCTGCTGTCTTTCCTGTCGGCGCTCTCTTTGCTGGTGGTGTCGGCTTCGTCGGCTTCGTCTCAGACTCTTCGATTGGCGCAGCTCTCCGTGAAGACCGCCTGGCTGGCGTGCTCGGCTCTGCCTTGGCCGTGGCCGCGGTGCTCTTTCGCCTGGGCGGCATGGTTGGAGTGAGGGGGGGTATTGAATGCGGAGGATTCTTTCACAGTTGTCTAGATCGATAACAAGAATGCAGTCCCAATTAAAAAAAAAAATATCACCGATTCATGGAAGGCCTGCACTGTCACTCGCTCCTTCTCCGTTCGTCGCAATATCTGCCTCTGCTCCTGAGACGCGTTCCTATCAACAAGCACTGCGCTAGTCCGTTTTAGGCATTCCTTGAGCCTGTCCAGTCCAGACCCCGACATACGACATTTTCTGTGGGTACTTTCTGATGTCGTGTTTCTCTTCTCCTAAGTTTCTTCTTCCAAACGTTTAAATCTGAATGAGGCTTTAGCACGTTAAGACTTGCCTCGTTATGGCAGTACACTATGATTCCCCTGGTTGCTTGGTCTCCTACGGCTGCCTTCATAATCCTCATACAAGACAGTACTCAATCTTCGACCCCCTCTCTCAGCCCTTTGTCCATTCATCTTGCGCCTTTCTTCAGCAACTCACAGACTTCGATGGCGTACAACCTGTGCTTATCTTTCTCATATGCTTCCCGGATTGCCCAATAACGACTTGCGGCACCGTTCATTCGCCCCCCCAAGGAACCAGCAGAGACACAAAGCCCATCAGCCGAGAGAGCTGGCCGCCAAAATCCTCCGATAGACCTGCCAAGCATGACTACGAACAATAAAAATCCTCTTCCTGTTCGTGTGACTCCGTCTTATCCGTTGCATCCACAACTCCAGGTCTCCAGACTAGCCCGACTCGACTGGATCCCTTTACTGCTGTGCTCGGCAAGGGCCGACGCGGGAGAACGAAGCCGTTTCCAGCTGGCCTTCCCAGTTTCCAGTTGGTCCTGCCTTGGTCCCCAGTTGGCTCTCGTCGTCTGCCGTTTCTCGTTCTCTTTCTTCCATAGTCCGTCGATCTGGCCCTGCGTACATTCGTACCTGCAGCCAACATGGGTCTCTTGTCTCTCTCGCCTCTGACCTCGGACCTCTTGTATCGCGCCGCTCTCTTCCTTTCTGCCACTTCCCACCCTCCGTCCTCCTTCTCTTACGCCCACCCCACCCGCCTTTGTGTTCCGTGCGGAGTAGGATACGATCCAGATCTCATATGATCGTCTTTATGTTCAGCCTTGTCAAGATTAGGTTTGGCCGTATCGTACCGAGACGTGGCACCGATCTCCCGATCCTCGTCTCTTTCCCCTATTTTGAAGGCAGTCTCAACGTACACCCTGGCACTCGTAAACCGGAGCTCTTGTTTCTCAAAAGCCGTAGGAAAGTCGTTTATTGCCACCACCTTCCAGCGTCCTCTTCCTCGCTGACGATGTTGGCGCTGGCGTCGTCGTCTTGTCTCCTGACTTTTTCCTGTCAGCTGTTAAGAAAGCGCGTACCCGTGAAACGATGTACATTGTAAGACATGCAGCAAGCACTTAGAAATAATGTACCTTTAGCAGTAGAGGAACAATAGGTACTTAGCCACTATCTCCATGTCTGTCTTTTAATTGGCCAACTGCACTCGCTAAGGCCAACTGTGCCCCGCTTTCAGACTAGCGCCGCGATGAAACCTGCGAAAAGGTCGAAAAAAGGGAGACCCCAATTTACCCAGTCCTCCTTCCCCCCCAGCTCTCGCAAGTCTCTCGTTCGTGCCTTCCTCGCCCTTATCCCACTGAAATCCCCAACCGCCCCGACCGAACACACATACCAAAAGGCAACAAAGCACAGCACCAACATTGCGCGCGCGCATTTCGAGGTACGTTTGCCAGTCCATTGTCCATTGTACATTTCCATTTCCATTTCGTCGTTCGTTCCCCGTTTTTGCATTTCAGCCTTCCCCGGCACTTGTCCTGGCCTTGCATCCAGTGACACGCGGCTCGTTGTTGTATGTCTCCGGTCTGCCTGCTTCTTGCGACCCTCACTCCTGCCTTCCTCTGCCCACTTTCCCCTTCGCACCTTCTGCCTCTCAGAAAGCGGGAACGAACGTGACATTGCGGAGACTCTTGCCACAGACCGGAGAGACCTTCCCATACTGTTACTTTCGTATGCCCTATTCCCCCTGGTCTCCTTTCCCCTGGCCTGCCTCCGTCCTATTTGCTATCCCCTCTGTATTGCCGTTTTCGCGTTCGCACCTGCCACTCCAGCCACGTTGGCCTGGCCTCCGTCGTCGAAGACCCCTGAAGAAACTTTCCAATAGGGACGGAGCGACCCAAACAGCGCAAACAGCGCTCCAGCGCCCTAGATTTTCAGGCCCTCTCCCCTGCATTCCACCGCCAACCACCTTTTCAGCACGCTTTGTGCCTTTGGTTTTGCTGTGGTTCCTGCCGAAAACCGTGCCTGTGCCTGCCCTCATTGACGCTCAACCGCCTGTAAAATACTTTTTCTCCCCTGCATTTCGCTTGCCCATTGGCGGATTGCAAGCCACAACATGGGTGGAAGAGCAAAACGAACAAAGGCCTGCAAGAGCGACCAGCGTCCCAGCAAAGCAGGAAAAATCTGAACAAAAAAATACAGGCGCGACTCAGGACCCGAAGCCCCCCTAAGTCCACCAAAAAACCGGGTGCACTTTCCTCATCACCCCCAAAACGCCAAAGCTGTCCATCGTGCCTGCCACCACACAAAATCCGATCTCACACACCTCTTCGCACCAAAGCCCACACAGAGCCCCATACCCTGACACAGCCGCGACCTGACGCGACTCTTCTCCTCAGTCCCCCCCTCCGCATCACGAACACCCTCTGCCGTGTCGCTGCCCATCTCGATTATATCAGACATTTCTTTTTTACCTTATTGCTTGTGTGTCTGGATGACGTCGCGCGTGTTGTCGCCGTCCGCGTCGCCGTCCCCGTCGTCCTCCCCCGTCGCCGTGCTTTGCTGACCTCCTGGCGCAAAAAAAGAAATACACAAAGGACAAACGACGAAAACGCATGATTAACAACGGCAGAACGACAGAACGACAAGAACAAGACACCCATCGATAGACACGCCCGGCAGATGGGCCCATCGCCGACGGCCCCCTCCGCCCCCTCCGCCATCCTCGACCGCCTGCCCGACCTCGTGCGCGACGGTGGCCATCGCGTCTTCGTGTCTCTCGCCTAGCCCTTCCATCCTCGCATTCCCCCATCTCTCCGTCTCCGTCTCTCTACCTCTCGGTCGTGGGGCCCCCGTTATCTCATCATGAGTTCCTGGATGAACGAGGCCGCCGTGCAGAACCACAATGGCAACGGCTTCCCGCACATCAACAACCCGAATGCGCCGCCCGTTGGCGTCGGTGTCGGCGGTATGACAATGGACCCGGCCGCGTTCATGGCCGCGAATCAGGCACAGTTCAATCCCGTTGCCGGCAACCCGTACGCCAGCCCACAACAGTTGATGGCGATGCAGCAGCAGCAGCAACAAGGCGGCACCCCCAATGGCGGGCCGATGCGCAACGCGTCACCCTCCTTCCAGAACCCCATGTATCAGACCAACTCGGTCATTCCATCAAAACGGCCGCGTCCACGCGAGGACAGCATGGCCGCGTCGCCGCGCCAGAACGCCGGCATGCTACCGACGACGCGCGCCGAGACGCCGAACCAGTCGCAGTTCCCACAGCACGCCCAACAACCTGGCCAGCCTGGTGGTCAACCACACGGCACGCCGCAGCCGCCCTCCTATCCCCATCTCCCGCACAACGGCTCGGCCGACGCGACGCCGTCGCCCATCATGGCCAACCAGATCCGCGCCGGCAGCGCCGTTCCCCAACGCGTCGCCACCACCTCACCCCACCCCTTCTCGCCCGCGACCCAGAGCTTTGCGCCGCAAGCATCTCCTGCGCCCTCCGACCCTAACACGGCATCGCAGCAGCAGCCGAGTCCCTACGGCCAGCCCGGTGCCGGCGGCAACTTCCCGCCCGGCCTCAACCCCAACTTCACCCCAACACCGCCACCCGGTCGTCCATCACCCAACCCCCAACAAGCCGGCGGCCAGATGATGCCGCAGCACATGGGCCAGATGCCGCCGCAGATGGGCCAGATGGGGCCGATGGGGCAGATGGGGCAAATGAACCCGCAGATGAACCCGCAGATGGCCGGCATGGGACCCGGTGGTGCCATGGGCCAGATGAACCCAATGGCCGCACAGATGGGTCAGGTGCCAAATGCCGCCATGTTCACGCCGCAGATGCAGCAGCAGCTGGCCCAGGCGCGGAACCCGCTCGAGCAGCAGAAGCTCATGTACCAGATGCAACTGCAGCGCCAGCTGCAGCAGGGCAACATGCAAGGTGCCGCCGGACAGATGCCGGGCCAGTCCATCACGGCCCAGCAGCGCAGCATGATTGCGAGACAGCAGCAGCAGCAGCAAGCACAGCAGCAGCAACAGGCGCAACAAGCGCAACAACAGCAGCACCACCACCACCAGCAACAGCAGTCACCGCAGGGCCAGCAGCAACAACCGCCTCTGCCACCACAGCAAGGCGGTCCGAACGGACAGGCCCCGCTCGGCACACCCAAGACCGCACAAGGCCCCGGCGGTACGCCTGGCCAGCAGCCAAATGGGCCCCAGCGGCCCAGTGACCAGTTCCTATCGCAGCTGACGGTGTTCATGCAACGGATCAACATGCCGCTGGACCCGAACCCGGTGGCAGGCGACCGGCCGATACACCTAATGCAATTGTTCCAAACGGTACAGAAGTTTAGCGGCTACCGCAACGTCATGCAGAACAACGGCTGGCCGCAAGTTTCAAACGCCCTCGGGTTCCCACCCGCGCAAATACCCACCGTTGCCGGCCAGATCAAGGCCATCTACGAGCGCAACCTGCTCAAGTTTGAGGAGTTTGTGGTCACGCAGAGTCGGGCCAAGGCGAACGCACAGCACCAAGCCCAGATGAAGGCCCAGCAGGGCTTTCCCCAGCAGCAGGGTGGTCCCGGAGGCCAGCAGCCGCCGCAACCAGGCCAGCAACAACCGCTGCAGCCGCCACCACCGCAACAACAGCCACAGGCCATCCAACCGCCGACGCCCCAACAGCAGCAGCTGCAGCAGCCGCCACAACCGCTCGACCAGGGCGGCCCCGTCGGCATGCCCAGCACCCCGAAATCGGCGACCCGTCCCAACAAGCGCTCGGCATCGGGCCAGCAGCCGGCCGCCCTTAAGCACGCGGCCTCCAATGGCCAGATGAACGGCTTTTCGACACCCCACCCTCCCAACCAACAGCCGCCGCCGCCCTCCTCGCGTAAGGGCAAGGGCAAAAACGCTCGCAACGCATCCACACACGAAGAGTTCCCGCCGCCGTCCCCGGCCCAGGGCATGCCTATGGGTGGCCCGGGTATGCGTGGCCCTCCCTTTATGGACGGCCCCGGCCACCCTGCCAACGGCTTTGGTCCCATGCCGGGCCAGTTCCCACCGGGACAGATGCCGCCCGGCCACATGCAGGGTGCCTTTATGCCGGGTCACATGCAAGGCCCGCCCTTTAGCGACTCGGACGAGTACAAGCCGTGCAGCCGTGACACGCATACGTTTGGTGGCGTCGATGTGCATGCGCCGGCCAACGTGGTCACCGACATCCTGCGGTTCCGTCCCGAAGTACCTGCGCCCAACGAGCTCGGCAACATTGACGTCCACGCACTCACCAAGAGCATCCAGTCGGGCATCCACGGCGAGGTGCGGCTCGCTCTGGACACGCTGGCGACAGTCACGGTCACCAACATGCCGGGGCTCGAAATGGATCTGGAAAAGTGCGACGACCTGCTCGAAACGCTGATTGACTACGCCGACGAGCTCCTCGAGGTGCTTGCTGAGAACACCGTCGAGGTCTCGGACGAAATTCTCATCCCGCCCTACGAAGACATTGCGCGCGCCTGTCAGATTGAGCGGTTGTCGATCCGCGACGAGCCTGAGGTGGGCTCAGAGGACGAAGAGATGGACCGTGCTGTCGAGTACCTGCTGTGCATTACGACCATCTTCCGCAACCTGTCGTTCAACCCGCGCAATCAGGCTGGCCTGGCCGACGAGTCGGCCGTCAAGTTCTTGTGCCAGTTTATACGATACGTCGGCACGCGCAACATGCTACTGCGTACCCAGCTCAACATGCTTGATTTTATGAAGGACATCATCACGCTCTTGTCCAACATTAGCGGGTCGATTGAGATTCCCGACCAGCAGGAGGCGTTTTGCTTCCTGCAGTTCCTGCTCGCCTTCGCGCCCGCACCCCTGCCCAGCCTCGCCGACGAGCATCTATATTTCCCCACCTACCACGCCACGCTGCAGCCGTACCTGCCCTCTGCTGTCGACGCCCTCGCCAAGCTGCTGGCCCGCGACGAGCCCAACCGCACCCACTTCCGCAACGTGTTCTCGGCCGACCCCAGCGGTGCCATGCCCTACGATTTGCTGACGCAAACGTTTGCCCTCGCCATTTCGCCCATCCCCGAGTACCTCCACCTGCGCGAGATGCGCCCGCCGCACCTGCCGCCCGTCCAGGAAGTCCGCAAGCCCATGCTCATGCAAGGGCTGCTGGCCGCCGACATTGTCGCGTCGCTCGCCCCCGGCTTTGAGACGGGCGTCACGCGCACTTGGCTGACGGCCCAGAACGGCTTCGTCCAGAACCTGCACCGCTCCGTGCGCGACCTGTGCCGCGACTATGAAATGGTCGAGCACCAGATGCGCCACTACCGCACGCGCGATCGGCTTGTCAAGGACGCAGAGATTATGTACATTGTCGTCCTGGCCATGTCCATGCTGCGCAAGCTCAGCGAAAAGGCGATTGACCCTGCGGACCCGGTTTCCAGCCTGCCGCCGTCGGTGCTGCCGTCCGAGCAAGGGCTGCTCGAGGCGCTGGAGATGCTGAGCGGCGAGTGGAGCCGCGACGGCTTCCTGCACAACTTTGTGGCGTATGCTTCTCTGGGGGAGAAGTAGGGGAAAGACAGTTGGGTAGTGAGGGGGGGAATACACTGGACCGGAAAGCATGACGGCGCGGCGAACGGCGAACAAAACTACATCATTCATGGGAACGAAGAGAAAACTGGGAAGAAAATGGAAAAAAGAGAAGGAGAGTTACAAAAAAACATAAAACTATGATGGATATACCCCCATTTTGGTTATTGTTTTTTTATTGTCGTCTTCCCTTTTGTGTACGCTGGGACTTTTGTACTTTTTTCGTGTTTTCATTTTGTTTCTTGTGTTTCATTGTCGGGTTTTTTCTCTTTTCCTGTCTCTTTTACATTGCTACATTTCATTGTTTTCTTTACGTCGACTGGTCTTTGCTCTATTTTCCTTATATATAATCTGTATTGGTTTTCATACCTTGTCTTGAATCGACGATTCTCCATTGAATTTTAGATAATCGTGTTGCTTGAGCTAGATTGACAGTGGCATATCATGAGAAACATGAAATATTTATGTTTGCGACTCTGTCCTACTGCATCTGTCTCCCTCGTCGACATATACCGTCGTCTCTTCCATTTTATCAGAGATTGTTCATATTAGCAAAATCATGCAGTACTAGCACGCTGAAAATCGTCAATGATTGACATAATTGAATAATGTTATTCGACTTTATAGCCATTTTTTTTTTTAAAAAAAAAGTAAAATTAAATTAAGACGAAATGTATATTTACAAAATTAAAAATACCCAATGAAATACGAATTTGTTAGAAAAATTACTTTTTATCACTCAAGTACACTGACTTATCTGTCACAGGGCGTTCCCATTATAGAGGTAATAAATTTGATTGCAATGAGGAAAAGAGAAACTAAATCGTCGTGAAGAAAATGTCTTTTTTCCCTACAGAACGCCAGAACATAAAACAAAGAGATAACCGCGTCACAAAAAAAAAGGAAACCAGCCAGAGACGTCTTACAGGACTTTGCGCCTATCTCCTAGCCGGCCACCATGCACATCCGCAATATTGCCTTTCCTTGTCCATACGACACCCCCAGCACAAAGAACGCCGCGTCTTACCGGGTCACAGCGGCCGTCAGGACCTGTGTCCGGAAGAAGCCGCCCTTGGTCCGCTCAATGACCTGCTGGTAGACGGAGCTGTTGGGGTGGTTCATGATGACGGTGCCCTCCTTGAAGTCGATCTTGGCGTCGAGGCGGGTGTCGCGGATGAGGTTGACGATCCACTTCTCGCCGTCGTCGACGTTGAGGCCGAGCTGCTCGCTGACGCGCTTGAGGTCGATGCGGGCGTGGATCTTGCAGTAGGACTCGAAGAAGAGGTGGCGGGCGGCGTCGACAAAGGCGTCGGCGACGCCGGCGAGGAAGAAGTCCTGGCGCAGGACGTCCTCGGCGCGGGGCAGCTGGCGCTGGGCCTCCTCAAAGTCAAAGTCCAAAAACAGGGCGCGGACAAAGTCGGTGACGGGGTCGGTGTACTCGTAGGCCTCCTGCTTGATGACGCGGACAATGTCCTTGAGCTGCTTCTGCTGGAGGCCGGCGTTGCGGAAGCGGCCGCGGCCGGCAATGACAGAGGCGGCGACGTAGCGCAGGATCCAGGGGCAGGCGGTCTGGACGGTGTTGATGTAGTTGGGGGAGAAGACGAGCTCGAGGACGGGCTCGCGGGCGCCCTCAAAGTTAAAGAGGGGGAACAGGGCCCAGTGCAGGAGCCAGGTGCGCTGCTGTAGCTGGGCGAGCGGGTTGTTGAAGAGCTTGGTGTCGATGGTCTCCTTGACCTTTGTGATCTCCTCGAGGGCCGACTCCCAGTTGGTGGTCAGGATCTCGGAGGCGAGCTTGCCCCAGGTGGCGGCGGCGACGCGGTCGTTATCCGTGGACAGCACGCGGAACTGGTACAGCAGCTCGGCAGCGCCGCCGTAGTTGCCGCAGCTGTACTGGAAGTTGCCGAAATCGTAGAGGGCGTTGACCATGTCGACGGTGACCTGGGGGGGTGGGAAACAACATATTAGTATTGTGTCATGGGCGCATTGTCGCGTGTCTTTGCGTGTTCTATCGCATCTTCGCTTCACGTCGTCCAGTGCGACTTACATCGTGCTCCTTCTTCAGAAACTCCAAGTTGGCCACCTTGTCGCTCCGGAGGTTGCCGACCACGTCCTCGTCGCCCAGCAGGTCGCGCAGCCGCGTGGTCTCGGTCTCAAACTGCTCGAGCTTGGCCAGGACCTTCTTTCGTGACTCGGCGTACTCGGCCGGCGGTGTGTCTAGGTTCTCGATCTCGCAGTATAGGTTGGCGACGTAGTCGGTCATGTTGGTCTTCTTGAGCAGTTCAAACTTGGCCTTGGTGATCTCGCGCGACTTGGCCTCGTCCTTGCTGCTGCCGTCCTCCTCCTCGAGCTGGCTGGCGGCGAATTCGACGAGCGGGAAGATGAGGTGGCGGTCGAGCCGCAGCACCAGCTGCGGCATGAGGTCGTACTCGGCCGCGGACGCCATGGTTGCGGTGGATGGGGAGGAAGCGTCGTGAGTCGGAGGGAAGGGAGAGGGGGCTTGTCGGGTCGTGATGCTGGAGATAGGGGGAGGGCCGTCGAGCGTCAAAAGCGTCAAAAAGCGTCAATCGTCAAGCGTAGGGAGGGGTTCTGATTTTTCGCGGTACGTTAGGGTTTGGCGCGGGCTTGTCGCTACAGCCCCATTCAGGTGGGCTGGTTGGGCTATAGTTTTGGGGCGGTCATGCCTCCCTGGCCGCCCATAGGCGCAGCCGACAAAACAACGGCAAAAATTTGCACTGTAAAATGTGGGATAGCACGGGCGCATGGTTTCTCCGGGGCCGCAAGCGCGGATTTTCTGCCGGGCGGTGAAGCGAGCTTCTGCGAACGACAGACGACGGTTGAAGATGGACGATGATCTTGAAATGCTTAGCTACGCGTCCTGTGTTCGTCTTCACGTCCATTGACCACCACCGCACAATGTCGCAATCACTAGCACACTCGTCGCGCGCTGTCATGCGCTGCGCACACACCCGCCCAACCACCACTGTCATGCCGCCGCTGCTGCAGCGCATGTTCCTCTCAACGACTCCTTCGACCACATCACGAGAGCAAGTGTCCACCTCGGCATCAAAAGCGCCAATACCGGTCGCCGGCGCACCTTTACCCTTCCGTATCGGCCGCAGCAACTCGCTCAACTTCCCCGTCTACCACCGCATTAAGTCCGGTGGCACAAACCGCACGACCGAGGTCAAAAAGGTCGAGGGCGATGCGCGCGTGCTGTCGCAGCAGCTGGCGACGGAGCTGAGTCTGGAGACCAAGATCAACCCGCGGACAAACCACGTTATTGTCAAGGTAGGTGGTGCTGCCGTCCCGATGGCTGGTTAAGCCTTTTTGGACCGTCTTGATCGCCGTGCTAACAAAATAGGGCTTCCATCGGGAAAAGGTGGTCAAGTGGTTGACAGAGAAGGGTCTGTGATCTGAAAGTGAGAATCAAGGAGGGAACGAAATAAAGGACGAAATGAACGTGGCTGAGACGCTTCATGATGTATAGCATTGCGTGAAAGTAGCCTACATATCTTCTGCTACCTTTGTATATTATTATTTCGCAACGTTGCCTGATATTTTGCGCTGGACATACTGTATGTTGGTATTTCATGTCTTTCCATTGTACCGTTATTTGTCTATTTATGCTGGCCTTGTTGTCATATGGGTACATACTTTATTAATTCTATGCTCGATGTCCCTGAGCGTCCGAGTACACATGCCCGAATCTTATCTGTCTGTGCCCCAATGCCTGCAAAAATGATCAACATGCCCTCGAAACTCCAAGTATGCATATGGCACGGCCTCCCCTGTTCCTGGCATCCCTCGTCTACTCGTGCTCGTCTCCGTCCTGCCCAATGAGCCACACTTTGCCCTTGAGCATGTCCACCGCTCGGTCGCTCATCCACCAGTCCATGTTCCCGTCCAGTTTGCTCGTCCACGGCGGCGGCATGTCATTGTCAGATACCGACGTGCCCGCGTTCTTGTCGTCCGCCCCACGGGTCTCGCCGTCCGCCTTGCGCAGCCGCTCTCTCTGGTCCGCCCAGTCAAAGAGCAGCCGGAGGTCCAGCAGGACGTCGCGGCCCCACGTCGCGCCCAGACCGCGCTCGAGGGCCAGGCGCGCATCGATGGTGCTGCTGAGTGCGCGGCTGCCGCTGACCGCGCCGCCTCCGCCGCCACCGCTACCACTGCTGCCACCACTGCCACCGCCGCCACCGCGGCTGCTGCCATCGGCCGCACCGTCTGCGCTGGCACCCGCCGTACCCAGCAACAGTGCGCACTCGGCGCGGCTCAGGCCCTTGAACAGGTCGAGACGCAGGATCCACTCGACCGGGTCGCTGATGCCCTGGCTGCTGAGCGCGCGGAACAGGTTGCGCGACGTGGCGGACGATGTGGAGGGCGCGTTGGCCAATGCTTGCAGCGTCGTGGAAAACGCGTTTTGGTGCGCGGGCCGGCGGCGCAAGTACAAATTCTGGTCGGCCTGGAAGGCGGCCTTGAGCGAGGGATCCTTTGCAAAGGCGACCTCCAGGTCCCAGAAGCCTTGCGCCGAGGCATCGGTGCGGATCGTCAAGATGTCGTCGAGTGGCGGCAGCAGACACGGCGTCTGTCGGCGCAGAATCGTCTCGCTGGGCGGCGCCGTCGACGGCGCCCCCGATGCAGACGGGCGGTTCAGCGAGAGCGCCGAGGGGCGCAGGTAGATGAGAATCGGCACCGAGATGGGTTGGCCCGTGGCCATGTCCTTGGTCACGAGGCAGCGGGGCTCCGTAGCCAGCACCCAAAAGTGCCGGAACGCTTGCAGGTGGGAGCCGTTGTCTTGGATGCTCTTGGGGAAGATGGGGTAAAAGGCCACAAGCAGCGCCGCCACAGCCAAGTTGCTGTTGCCAAACGTCGTCGTGCCGGACCCCAGAAACAACGTGCCAATGGCGAGATGTGCCGCCAGATGGCTGCCGTACGTCGTGTGCGCGTCGTCTCCGCCGTGCAGCGCACGCAGCCGCCGCAGGACGACCAGGTCGCCGGTGCCCGCCATAACCGTCGCACTCGACAGAGCCAGAACATCGAGGCACATGCGCGCGCCGCTGCGTGCCATCTGGGCGTCGAACGTCGTTGCGGGCAAGTCCTGCACAATCGTACGGAAGCGGTCGAGGTAGTGCACGAGCACGTCGCGCACGCGCACGTTTCCCGAGCCCGCAAACCGCAGCGCGGCGGCAAAGCAGAGACCTGCCAGGATGGCGAACAGCGGCAGGTCCAGACTGCTGAGCGTCTGCACGTGCGCCAGCAGGGGCTTGCCGCGGTATTCGGCCGGCAGGCTCTGACGCACCCAGTCGAACGTGGCCTCGATCTGGCTCCAAAGTATGAGGTTCTTGGCGAGGGTGCGCAGCAGCAGAATGTCGGGCCGGACGTAATCGTATTGCAGCACGGAGTCGGGGATATCGATCTTGCGCGCCACAATCGGGTCCTCCGACTTCATGTACATGAGGGCAATGGCGACCGTGGCCGCGGCCGCGGAGCGGTCCAGCACGTTCACCAGCTCGACCTTTTTCGTAGACGACGACAAGCTGAGCAGCTGCTCCGTAATCTGCATGTCGAGCAGACCCTTGCGGTCGTTGCCACGGCCCAAGTTGATGAAGCCGAGAGCAAATGCGGCTGCGAGACGGTAGCCCTCATTGCGCAGAGGGTCCTCCTCGTCCTCGTCCTCCATGTATGCAATCTCCGACATCATAATCTCGCTCATGCGCCGATGCTGGCTGTTGTAGTACAGCAGCCCGATGCCCATGATGCCCGTCGTCTGGATTTGGTGCGACAAGTTCAGCTCGGCCGCGCCGCGCGGAAGCATGCGTGTAACATGGACCGAGAGCAGCCGGGTGATGAGCGAGTCCATGGTGCCCAGGTGCGACACGGCCAAGCCCAGGAGCAGGCCAATGGACGTCATCATGTGCTTGGGGGTCAGGTACTTGAACGCCACCCACTTGGCAACCGACTTGAGATGCCCGTTGAGGCCGAGCGCCAGCAGGAAGCCAGCATGGCGGTGGCTGAGGTCCGTGCCCGGCTTGTTGAAGACGATCCACGAAGTGTCGATGCCCTTGGCACGCGCCGAGATGGCCAATCCATAGGCCACGCCCTGGTGGAAGAACGCCCAGTTGACCCTTTCCTCGGTAAACATGGCCTTGTCGACGCCAACGGCCACATTGTTTGGCTTCACAATGCACGTGAGGTTGAAGCCCTGCACGTTGAATTTCTGTGTCAGGAGGGGGAACCGGAAGCCGTAGTTGAGCATGCCACGACCGGCTGAGGTGGCCAGTGTGCTGGTCGCAATCGTCGTCACGAGCTCCTTTTGGCGTTCGAGGTACTCGGGCTCCGACCACTGAGGCTCCGGGTTGAGACGTACGACGCGTGGTTTGGACGACGAGAGCAGGTTCTGCGCCTCGATAAGACGCTTGTCGTCGCGGAAGAGGGCTTGGATGACGACCTGGCGCTCCTCGCTTTCCGGTTCCTCGGTCGCCTGAATGGCCATGTCCTCCTTGGTATCGTCCACGTCCTGAGAGTTGTAGTTGGGCGCCATTCTGTGCAGAGCCAGCAGGCTGCTCACGCCGAGCGCAGCTTGCGAGTCGTTCTTCAGGACCGTCGTCACATCGCCACGACCGACCAGCTCGTAAAGTTCCTTTGTCCAGTGGCTTGGTGGGCGCTGCTGGCAGCGCGCAATGGCATCCTGGAACGGCGTGGCCATGCCCTCGGGGAGCGAGTCGAGGATGCCGAGCGTGAAGCCACACTCGTGCATGGCCTCGACCACGCGCGCGCTGGAGTCGGCCGGGCTTGTCGATTCAAAGAAGCGGCGGAACATGAGTGTCCGTGGCGTGATCTCGTTCCAGACAGCATCGCCTCGGATCGCATCCTTTTGGATGTGCTGTGCGAGGACAGCAAAGACGTCCCGCAGCGAAGGGAACACGTAGGATTGGGCGCCAATCAGCCGCAGCCGGACCCAGTCCGAGATATTAGGTATGGTTTCTGGCTCTGGGATACTTAAGAGGGGAGTCCCAATGTCATGCTGGGGTATGACACCAGGTAGCTCGACCGCATACCATGCTGCAAAAGCTGGCCAGTTGAGCCACAAGCACATTTGGTAGACAATGGCCTTGAGATCCGTAGAGGCTGAGCTGCCACTTTTAGCCGCCATAATGTCCAGCTTGTCTTCCTCGAGGAGAAGATGCAGCGCCATGGTGATGCCCCAGACGGCTTTCTTCCTCGCTGTCTCGGATACGGACAGTGCCGTCGGCAGATATCCTGCTTGGCCAACGGCTTGGACGCCGGCCTCGGAAGCCATGAATGCTTCCACAAGGCGGACGTGTTCGGCCAGTGGGCCACTTGAGCCGCTGAGACCCTCGTTTTGCGGGTTGCCACCGACGTTGCCAGAAGCGAGGCCCGGGACATCTGATATCCAGTTCCAAGCTTTTGATTTGGCCCATGCTTGATTGCCGAGAGTAGTAGAGGACGCTCCACGGCGGTTGCTAGAGATGGTGGTGAGAGACGAGGTCGATGTTTGGCGGCCCGGGTACAGTGCGGCAGAGAAGATGACGCATAATTCCGTGACCAGGGCTGTCCATTCTCGGTTCTTGGACGCGACGCTTGGCTGGGTTGCAAGCCACTGCATGACCTGCCACCAGCCAAGGACCATTTTCTCTGCGTGCGAGGCGGGGAGGACGCTGCGTAGACAGTTTAGGATTTGACGTACCCGGTCCGATTTTGGCTCGAGCTGGATCTGGACCTGATACGACTGCCCGTTGTCGTCTATCACGTCAACCACGCCTTTGCCGCGTGGCCGGCTCAGTTTTCCAATGGAAACACCAAAGGTGCCGGCTCTGGCTGTTTGGAAAATGCTGTCCGCGCTGTCGCCGGTCTCAGCAGAGGCGTAGTTGTTGCGATTGTGAAGTGACAGAGGGGGGATGGCGATGGTCGTGAGCTCGCTCCACGGCGCCTGGATGCTCAGCTGACGGTGGCCTTGGTCGCCCTCGGACAGAATAAAAATCATGGCCTGGTCACCATCATAGATCATGCACGAGTCGGCAACGTTTTGCGCACGTCTATGCTGCCCCCAGGTAATGGATGTGGCGGCGGCACTCGGTGTGCTCGTGGCTGCGTCGTCTCGCATTTGGACGTGGAGAGTCAGGAGCTGAAGGCGCTTGTCAATAGCGTCCTGAATGCACACGAGGAGATAGTTACGGTCCTGCTCATCGACCGAGTACGGCGTGCCGACAATAATAAAAACCTTGCACAGCTGTGTCGCTGGCTTGTTGGACATGGAGTACCGCAGGTTGGTCGTGTCCATGGACATGCTGTGGATCTTGGTAAAGAGAATTTCCTTGGAGAGGCCCTCAAATTCGGTGTCGTCGAGGCCCATGTTGTGGAAGCCTTCAAAATCACCGCCCAGACGCAGCTCTTCCAACACGCCATCCGCCTCGTGCAGGCTGTTCAGTGTTTGGTTGAACTGTAGATTTGCGCCGCCCAGGCCGTAGCCTGAGCTATGGCGGCCACGTTGCATGCCGTGGGAGTCGACTCGTCGCCCGCCCGTGGATGGCACCCCCGGCTGCTCTGTAAAGAGTGGCCGCTCATGGGATGCTGAAAGATCGGCACGAGCCAACAAGGAGCTAACACGACGGGACTGGCGCCGGGACACCTCTGTGGCTCTACTTGCCTCGATCGACAGCGCCTTCTCCAGCGCCGCAGTGTCGCCCTTCTCGAGACGCTCGCTTTTCCTTGTCCGCTTCAAGGGAAGTGCTGCGCCCGCGCTTTCGCGGAAGCTTGGGTGGTGGGGTGTCGTGGCCCCACTTGCAAGGCCGGGTGCGACCGAGGTACGCCGCCGGTTGTTGTTGCTGTGTGTGCCGGATTTTGTTTTCGGTGCTCGCCGCTGGCGCGCGAGCTGGTCCTCGCCGCTCAGGTATGTCATCCGCCACACGCTGTACATGCTGGTTTCTCGGTTCACCGTGACGGCGAGGATGAGGTTGTCGCGCGGGTTGCCGCCACCCTGGCTGGCACCGAGAGGTTTGCTGCCCTGCCGGATGGTCTCAATGTGTAGAATTTCCTCGGCCGGGTCGAGAAATGGGGTTTTGGAGGTGCTGCTCTTCGGATAGCGGTCTTTGCCGGACTTGTCCGGCTGCGTCACAACCAGGCCAATCTCCGACATAGGGTCTGTGAGGCACACCAGCCGTGGCCACCCCGAGTCGCTGCTTGCTTCGAGCGGCGTGTCCCACATTGTTTCGAGTGTAGAGCTGAGGCGGAGCGGCAAGGGCTTGGGCTTGCCCAGTGCGGCGGTGGAGAAAGTCTGCGAGGAGGCGGCCGGGGTGGTGCTGGAGGCGGTGGCCACACTTGAGCGAGGCAGGATCTGTGACGACACGAACGAGTTCGGCGGCGCACGGGGGAACTTGAGTGTCATGGGCACAGTGGTGTCGACCTTGGACTTGCGCTGGATGATGACGCCGCAAGGCGCTGCAATGGCCGAGTCGACCTCAAAGGGCATGTGCAGCACATGGTCGCCGCCGGAGAAGGACATGACGTGTGCCTGGGTCTTGAGGAACACGACGAGGGCTTTGGCCAGCGGCGGAGGCTCCCGTTTGCTGTGCGGTGATGTCTTGTGGTGGGATTTGGGAGCAGCGTTTGACAAGCTGGACAACTGCCCGGCATTCTGGACGTCATCCTCGCTGGTGGGGAAGTAGGCCAGCAGGGCGGTCGAGATCGGCTCCTTCTCCATGTCGAAGCGAAGGCACCGGCCGACCTCGCCGCCGCGCGACCAGATGGCGCAGGTCTCTGTGCTAAGCAGCTCATCCTCACCGTTTTCGTCTGAGAAGATCTTCCACTCGTAGAGGTCGGGCGAGGGGTTGGGCGGCAGCAGCCCCTCGGCGATTGCAAAGCGCAGTCCGGCTGGCTCATGCACCCCGAGGGATGTCACGGACGCCATTGTTGGGTCTGCTGGAGGCCATATACATGAGAGAGGGGGGGAGAGGTCGAGAGTGAGTAGGAAAAGAGCCGAATGGGGGCCCTTGTTGTTTCTAAGATGTCCGGTTGAGCTTCCTTATTGTTTGGGCTCGTCTGGTTTTGGCGATGTGCCTGTTTTGGCAATAGCCTCAGCTATCGTTCATGGCAGCTGCCACTGGCGCCCACTGAATGCTCCTGCACTTTTGGCGGGAGACGCGCCGCGTTGCGGGGAACGCGACAGGGGCAGGGACAAGCTTTGAAGCTAAGAAGCTCATGTGGCTGGAGCGTGTGGCGTCGAACTACTCTGACGTAAACCACGCTAAAAACCAGCTGTCTCAGGCTTAGGCAGGTCCGCCCCTGCATCACTGCCCAGCGGCCGCCCAGCAGCAGCGCAGCTTCCCCCAACAAGCTTCGACGTAATAGCCGACATTGGGAAGGCACGAGCAACGAGGAAGCCTGGCCCCAACAGCCACAACTGACCTCAACGTCCCATTTACACACCTCACAGCACGCGAACGACGACCACTACCTTGGATGCTGTACAGTACGGGCCCTTTACCTCTCGGAACGGCATTCGCAGCACCATGTACACAGTGAGCACTTGCCTGTAACGTCTGCCACCATGCCTGCAGCGCACACAGAGCGAGACGACAACGCAAGAGGCGGTGCATTGAAGGATCGGAGGAGTGGTGACGACGACACGACGTCTGAGGGTGGCAGCTTGGCCGGCAGCGGCAGCGACGCGACTGGCGACGAAGCGAGGACCAGCCGAAACGATAAGGGCAAGGGGGCGGCCGCTGAGGAGGATGAGGAGGAGGATGCCGACGCTGAAGAGGATGACGAGAATGATGAGGATGAAGATGAGGACGATGAAGAGGACAGCGATGACGAGGACGAAGAGCCGCGGCTCAAGTATGCCCGTCTGACGACCAACCTCGGCGGCCTATATCGCAACGGCGATGCGACAAGCGCGTTTCTCGTCGCCGGCGACAAGATGGTGAGTGGCACTTGTGCTGGCGATGCTTGGTAGGCTTGGATCTCTTTTGCTAACAGGACTGCAGATCGTCGGAACACACAATGGCAATATTGTAAGCTACCATACACTCTTCCTGCTCCTGTGCGTCGCACGATCTTGTCACTAACACCCACAGCACGTCTTCCAACTGCCGACCTTTCAGCCTTTGCGCGTCTACCATGCCCACTCGGCATCCGTCATCGCCATCTCCATCTCGCCCTTTACGCCGCCGCTTCCGAGCCTCAAGATTGAGCAGATCAACCGCATCGTGGCTGAGGGTGGCGCCGGTGCCGGTGCTTCACGGCCTGGCTCGTCGCACGCGTCGCCTTCGCCCAACGCATCGCCACGCAAGGCGCGCGAGCCGCCACCGATCCTCAACATCCCTTCCAACAACATCCACATTGCTACCGCGTCGACGGACGGCAACGTTTGCATCCAGTCACTCATCGACGTCAAGGATGTGCAGCTGCGCAACTTCGGGCGCCCCGTGCAGGCCGTGGCCCTCTCCCCCGAGTACCGGCAGGACCGGACGTATCTCTCGGGTGGTCTTGCGGGCAACCTGATCTTGACGGTCTGCGGGCAGTCCGGGCGCAGCACATCGACGACGGTGGGCACGGCGGCGGCGACGGCGTCGGGCTGGCTCGGCAGCATGGGCCTCAGCAACAACGCGGGCCGCGACACGGTGCTGCACTCGGGCGAGGGAACAGTCAACAACATCCAGTGGTCGGTGTCTGGGCGATACGTGGCGTGGCTGAACGAGCACGGCATCAAGATTATGCGTACGCGACTGCATCTAGACAGTGCCGATGCCGAGGGTGCGTGGAAGCGCATTGGGCACGTGGACCGGCCACAGACGGAGGAGTGGGACACGATGGCAAGCGTGTGGAAGGGCCGCGCGCACTGGATTGATGAGACAATGATCGATGCCGACGACGACGTGGCCGGACAAGAGATCGGCGCGTCCGCCGAGCCGGGCATCTCGTCGCCCGCAGCTGAGGTGCTGAGGCAGCAGCAAGCCCGCGATAGTAAGGTTATTGAGCGGCTTCTTGTCGGCTGGGGCAGCACAATCTGGATGGTGCATGTCCACGCAGGTCGAGTCAAAACCGGCAAGCACGCCGGCGAGCGATCCGTCGGCCACGCCGAGATCGTCAAGATGTGTGTATCTTCCCCTCCCTTCCTCCCAAAAGCGTGCTGGGATATGTGTCAATGTGAATTGTCGACTAACAGCACAGCCTCCGAATGGACTGCATTATATCCGGTATCTCTCTTTACACGCAAAACTTATTACTTGTACTTGCCTACACGCCTGCCGATCCCGAGGAGGACGAGGACGAAGAAGGGGGCCAGGCGGCAGGTAAATCTAAGTCAACGTACACACGCGGGCACAAGGCGAACAAATCGACAGCGTCGAGCAGCAGCGAGCCCACGGGCGGCATCCGGCGACGACAGAATAACAACCCGCCAGAACTGCGGCTCATCGACTTGACCTCGCAGACGGAGGTGGACAAGGACGTGCTGAGTGTGAGCCGATACGAGCGGTTGTCGGCGGGCGACTACCACTTGAGCGTATTGCCCGCACAGACGGCGGCAGCAGCAGCAGTTTCGTCCAAGGGCGCGCTCGAGGCGATTGCCGGACTCGGCGCGGATATGTGGAACGCTGCACTCAACCCTAGTAGGATGCTCTTCAGCTCGGGCCAGAGCGTCAAGAGCAAGGATAGCAACGAAGGCACGACGACGGGGAGCTCCAAGGCGGCTAGCTTGGCTAGCACATTGCGGGCGCAGTCCCGCCTGGGCGGCTTCGGCGGGCAGAATGTGCATCCGTCGCTGGCGACAACCGGTATCAAGATCTTTATGCACAGTCCGTACGACTGCATTCTCGCGACGAGACGTGACCTGTCCGACCACCTTGCTTGGCTTCTGGAGCACCAGGAGTTCCAGCAGGCGTGGGAACTGATCAACGAGAACCCGGATGCGGTGCCTTCGTATGCCGACCGACCGTCTGACGCCGGCACAATGACGCCCGACCAGTCGACGCAGCCGATGCAGGCTTCGGACGACTTTTACCCCGACGCGGTGCTCGATGCCCTCAGCCGAGAGGCCAATGCGCCGGCGGAGCGCGAGAAGCGGCGTATCGGCGAGCTGTGGATCAAGGAGATTGTCGACACGGGCGACTGGGAGCGGGCGGGGCAGGTCGCGGGCAGAGTGCTGCGCAGCTCGGACCGGTGGGAGAAGTGGGTGTGGACGTTTGCGGGCGCAGACCAGTTCGACGCCATCACCAACTACATTCCGACGGAGCCGCTGCACCCGCCGATCCCGCGGACCATCTACGAGATTGTGCTGGGCCACTACTTGAAACAAGACAAGCCGCGGTTCCGCGAGCTGCTGGAGCGGTGGCCGACGGAGCTGTTTGACATCAACACGATTGTGACGGCGCTCGAGAACCAGCTCAACTACCGCGACGTGCGCGAGGACAGCGTCGAGGACGGCGAGCGCGGGCGCGACTGGCGCATCGTGATGGAGTCACTGGCCCGGCTGCACGATGCCAACGGGCGGTACCGCGAGGCGCTGAAGGCGTACATCCGGCTGCAGGACGCCGACTCGGCGTTCCGACTGATCCGCGACAACCACCTGGCCGACGCGGTGATTGACGACATCCCCAGCTTCATTGCGCTGCGCGTGCCCGCCGGCCGCGCCGACAAGATGACGCGCGCCGAGCTCGAAGAGGCGACGGCCGAGGCGATGGCGCTGCTCGTGGACGAGGCACAGCACGGGCTGGTGCAGCCGGCGTCGGTGGTGGCGCAGCTGCAGGCGCAGGACCTGAACCTGTACATTTTTCTGTACTTCCGCGGGCTGTGGCAGGGCGAGGGTCTGCGGGAGCACCAGCGCGAGTCGCACGACCGGCTGGCGCTCGAGAGCAAGGCGCAGCTGGACGGGTTTGCGGACCTGGCCGTGCAGCTGTTTGCGCAGTTTGGGGACCGCGCGCTGCTGATGGAGTTCTTGAAGGCGTCGACGTCGTATTCGTTTGAGAAGGCGGCGGCGGCGTGCGAGCGCCACAACTACATCGACGAGCTGGTGTACCTGTACTCCAAGACGGGCCAGATGAAGCGCGCGCTGTACCTCATCATCGACCGGCTCGGCGACGTCAGCCAGGCGATAGCGTTTGCCAAAGAGCAGGACGACCCAGACCTGTGGGAGGACCTGCTCAACTACAGCATGGACAAGCCGCGGTTCATCCGGGGCCTGCTGGAAGAGGTGGGCACGGCCATCGACCCGATCACGCTGGTGCGGCGGATCCCCGAGGGCCTGGCGGTGGAGGGGCTGCGGGACGGGCTGCAGCACATTATGAAAGAGCACGAGATCCAGCACAGCATCAGTTCGGGCGTGGCGCGGGTGCTGCGCAGCGAGGTGGCGACGGCCCAGGCCACGTTGCGGAATGGACAGCGCAAGGGCATCCGGTTCGAGGTGGTGGCGCCCAGCAAGGTCGCCCCGGCCGTGTCTTCGGCCGTGCCCCCGGTGGCGACGGCTTCCATCGATGCTGCCGACGGCGACGAAAAAGAGCAGCCGGCCTGGACGCCTGGCCACTGTGCGCGCTGCCTCGAAGCCTTTACCGAGTGGGACAGGGACACGCTGGTGGGCTTTGCGTGTGGCCACGTGTTCCACCTGACGCATCTGTTGGGCAAGTCGACGGACGAGGTCGAGGAGCTCGGGTTCGGCGTGGACGACGAGCTGATCAGCCGGCACAACATTACGGCGACCAAGATCATGCATGCCCGGTTGCTCAGGGACCACGTCCGAGACGGTTGTCCAGTCTGTGTCAAGCCGACGGCGGTGGCCTGACCGGTCGCTGCTGGTGCGGTTGTGTCATCCGTCGATTGTGTTTTTTTTTTGTCTTTCTATATATATCGCATGTGCTTTTGCATACAATACCTCTTTTACATGGTCTACATCGTATACACGGGCGGGCGGTG